GGGACGGCTAGCGCAGATAGCCCTCGTGTAGCTTTGCGCGAAATTCAAAAACAAACAAAAACAAACAAACCTTTAAGTCACACGCTCAATCCATTTTTGGCTGCACCTTTATTTCACACCTAAGGTGTTTTTTTTTTTTTTTATTAGATGGTATGTACCTTTCTTAGACATACTTTCAGATCTTTCCTTTTTTTACAAGTTTCCCGACGATTTATGTTATTTTTCTGGTTTGCTTAATATCCGCAACATGTTTACCCAGTCATTCATATCACTATTAATCAAAGCATCCCTCAGTGGCCCAGCGGTAAGGCTGATTTCTTATAACACAAAAAATCGGGTTTAGATACCCATGGTGTAGGCACAGCAGAGATAACATATTTTTTTAACTTTGTGTTTAACAACAAACAAACAGATTAGTCAAGACAAAAAGGGTTGAATCATTTACCTTTCAGAAGTAGCAACACATTGTATCTAGTTGAACTGAATAAACGGGTCAAGGTCCCTGTATTAACTGAATAAACGGGTCAAGGTCCCTGTATTAACTGAATAAATGGGTCAAGGTCCCTATATTAACTGAATAAACGGGTCAAGGTCCCTGTATTAACTGAATAAACGGGTCAAGGTCCCTGTATTAACTGAATAAACGGGTCAAGGTCCCTGTATTAACTGAATAAACGGGTCAAGGTCCCTATATTAACTGAATAAATGGGTCAAGGTCCCTGTATTAACTGAATAAACGGGTCAAGGTCCCTGTATTAACTGAATAAACGGGCCAAAGTCCCTGTATTAACTGAATAAATGGGTAAAGGTCCCTGTATTAACTGAATAAACGGGTCAAAGTCCCTGTATTAACTGAATAAACGGATCACGGTCACTGCATTAACTGAATAAACGGGTCAAGGTCCCTGTATTAACTGAATAAACGGGTCAAGGTTCCTGTATTTACTGAATAAACGGGTCAAGGTTATAATAAGTTGCAGCAAACAATTTTTCATTTTTTGTCCTGTGGAAATTCTAAACCTTTTAATTGTAGTTGACCTTTTAGTATAAATAGTTGTCTCAAATTACCGTTAATATCATTTGGTCTATAGAAAATATTGAAGCTTTGATGACGTGACCCCAGTCACATAGGTTATTGTTGTCAACATGTTTTTTCATTGTTGTTTGTTTTCACTATTAGGGTTTTACTGTCTTTCTCATAAGTAATGTATAATCCACCATAACCATGCTAGCACTCACTGGTTTCTCACTATTAGCATTTGATTTATCGTTTCGTCTTTCACACGTCCCCACCTATTTAATTGTTCGTTGTAGTCTTTCACACGTTCACACGCATTTAATTGTTCGTTGTCGTCTTTCACACATCCACTCGCATTCAATTGTTCATTGTCTTCATTTCACACGTTCACGCGCATTTAATTGTTCGTTGTCGTCTTTCACACGTTCACACGCATTTAATTGTTCGTTGTCGTCTTTCACACGTTCACACGCATTCAATTG